AGGGTGGGTCTTGAGTCTTCCGGTTGAAGATTGCAAACTCCGGATTCAGGGTCTGGGGTTAACAGCTTTAGAGCTGTTTTGGGTTCATGATTTGGATTGAAGGGGTTCTAGGGTTGTGTTCAGAAGATTTGCCTGGGTTCCATAGGTTGCCTGAAGGTTATTTAGGGTTTAGGGCTTAGGGAAACATCATCACTTGAAGCCCCCACTGGTAGGAAGAATGCTTGCAACAACCCCAAAACCCTAAACCCTTATTAAACCCTTAACTCTACAACCCCCGGCCCCTTTGAAAATTAAACCTGCCAAGAGACCAAATACTTTAACTCTAGACCCAGGTCTCTGCGCACGCCGCATGCAGCCACAGCATTGAAGATTTCCTGGCAGAAGGACTATGGTTAGGGCTTAGGGTTTAGGGAGGGCTTCGGAGAATAGGTGGGGCACAGCAAAGCGCTCAAGGCTCTGTCCTATACCCCAAACCCCAAGCCCTAAACTCCTTTAAAACAAAAGCATGCAGGACAGTCCTCAGTCTTGCCGTCGACGCAGAGGCACCACTGGTTTGCCTAGATAGCAGGGTTTAGTTATTATTGTTATTATTGTGATCATAATGAAATGGATGGTATTAAATCTAGATGATGTAGGATCTCGGGTATTCAAAGGGCTTGTTAGGAAGGGCCACTGCTGAAGACTGTTCAGGACATTGGGAGACTGTAAGACTGTAAGACTGCTTTGGGTTTTAGGGTTGACTGTCATTCAGTCCTTACCAGGGAGACTTATGGTTCCTAGGTCGAGGTTTGGATTCCCTTGACATTCATTCATAGTCCTGGAACATTATATGTATATATATATATATGTATTCGGATATCTTGGGGGTCTTAGAGCTCAGAGCCTTGAGGAAGAAACACAGTGATATGTGGCTCGGGTACAGAATACTCCGATTTCTATTTTCGCATACAGTGAACCCTCAAAGCCAAAGGTATCATGTCCTAGCATGTCAACATCCTGATATGTAAACTCCTGAGGGGAATCAACACACCTGTGCAAGCACACTTTAACTAGACAAATCTCATAATAGCCCAAGCCTGTCTCATGGAAGGCAGAAGACACTTGGTAGAGTCGTGCAAGACGACAGACAGGTGCTGGGCTCGGCAATCTGAACATCAATAGCTCGGGTTCGGCATTTCAGGATTCGGGTTTGGAGAACCGGCACTTGTGCTGCACGTACATTGGCAAACTTTGTCGGGGAGCTGTGGGTGCATTTCCTTTCAATCCCAATCCAGGTTTGCATCTGCTGCGCCGTGCTTCCCACTTTCCAGCAGCAGCTAGGCAGCAGCAGTTCGGCCATAGTTTGATAAGCAGTAGAACTTGCAATAGTGCAAGTACCAGTGGGAAGTCATCGTAGTAGTCGAAGCAGACACTACTATCAGTACTAGTAGTGGCAGGAATACATTCACTGGTAGTGGTAGAATGAGCATGTACTCCGGTACTTCATGAAGTGTAGGTGTTGTGGTTATTGCAGGAGTCATACTTCTTCTAATAGTATATTTAATATGCTAGTACTTGTCCTGGTCCGAACAATACTACAAGCTCTAGTACTCATACACGAAGTTCTGTTAGTAGTTGTGGTGGTAGGAGTCAGACTGCAGTAGCAGTTAAATATCATAATGAAATAGTGTTTGTATACACTAGGTTGGGCAAGCCGATCATAAGATGCACTGAGTATCTCTGTTTGGTTGTTTCTTCCGGTGGCCGGCCGGTGACGACATCAGAGTCAGGCCTCAGATCCCGAAGCTCCCAAGGCCAGGCAGTCACCTCTAACGATTCGGGGATCTAGGCCTAGATCCCCGAATCGCTTCGGACCAGATTGAACATCCCTAAGTGCTAGAGGCCAGGCAGTCACCTCTAACACTTCGGGATGTTCAATCTGGTCCGAAGCGATTCGGGGATCTAGGCCTAGATCCCCGAATCGTTAGAGGTGACTGCCTGGCCTTGGGAGCTTCGGGATCTGAGGCTTGACTCTGATGTCGTCACCGGCCGGCCAGCCAACCCCGAAAGTAGTTCCTGACCCAACTGTAAGCCCCTTGCCCATCTACCCAGCCAAGGCAATGTTCGGTGGCATGATGCAGATGCTGACAGACTTCACACCGCCGCATATGATTGGAACAAAAGCTCCGACAGCCTCCTTCTGTGATCGCCTTTGTGTTCAGGACACACCTGCTCTGAATCCTAACACACTTGTCAGCAAAGTTCGGGAGAAGAGCAAGTGGGACTGCCAAAAGCGCAAAGTAAAGAGATGGATAGCACACTGGAGGCATAACTCCGACGAAGTTTTGAATGATACTCTGTTGGATGAAGCAATGTGCGGGTTGACCCCCAGGCAGCAACGAACAAAGTTCTTTTCTACTTATCGAAGTAGGGGTTTTTCTTGGAAGTACATTGCAGCTTTGTGGAAGCAACATCCCCTTGCTGTTGCTCGAGAGGAAGCTCGGCAAGAGAAGCAACGTGCAGCCAAAGATTTAAAAGCTTTTAGAAAAGCCAAGAGACTGCAGCGCATGAAGGATAAGCTTGCAGGTGTTGCAAGTCGGAATTCAAAGTAGAGCCCAGCACTGTAATTCTTAATTCGAGCACCCGCAGTCCTGCAGTCCTGCAGTGGTGCAGCTCGGTGTGGATAGGCAGAAAAAGGAGGTGTCGAGTCTGCCTGCTACATCTAGACACTGCTGTTCCATGGCAACAGAGACTCCGAAGATACTTTATGTCATCGGGTAGCATTATGCCCAAGCTTAGAGTCAGGCGGCCCAAAAACAAGCCCGCCAAGAAGCAGCGGGTGGTTGAGCAAGATGTTCCCACTGATTTTGATCCCTGGAATGCACCTCCTGCTGAGAATCCAGTCTGTGAGCAATCCGAGGATCCCTGGAAATATGTGGTAGAAGAGGACAACCCATGGGATGAGGTTGAGAAGTGTTCCAGTCCTCAGTCCTCAGTCCAGCAAGGGAAAGACCCTGAGGACAACCCATGGGATGAGGTTGGGGAGTGTTCCAGTCCTCAGTCCTCAGTCCAGTGCAGGAAACGACATGAGGACAACCCATGGGATGGAATTGGGGAGTCTTGCAGCAGTCCTCAGTCCTCAGTCCAGTGTGCGAAAAGACATGTGTCGTTAGATGCAGGCAGTCGCTTACTGGCAGAGTCCACCTTGAAGGCCCATTCGAACTCTTATGAGATTTCTGCAATGGACCCAGACAAGATTCGATCACGATGGGCCCAGAAATGTCCCCGAAGCAACTGTCAACTTGATGGTTGTGCACCCCGGGCGCTGCATTTGAAGTCTCTCCAAGACTTGTGCCAGAGCTTCTGGAGTATCACTACAGAGGAAAGGATTCATCTACTTCAGGTCATTTATGGTGATGGGACTGGCAAGGGCACCGAGTACTACATTGGATCCTCACGGGTTTGCTTCTGTAATTTTTGCAAGAAGCTAGCATGCAGCCAGAGCACAATGAGAAAATACATAGCTGGACAGCCGGACATGCGAAAGAAGGGTGTGGCTGGTGGGTCCAAGTGGGGCAGTCAACAGCGGGAGGCCGCAGCAACATTGAAGTGTGATCACTTCTTCCGGGAGCTGCACCAGTCCGTAGCAGAATGTATGCCGGAAGATGATGAAGCTGCAGTGGATGATCCGTGGGATCAGGACTCCTGTTGAAAGTAATTCTTGTGAGTAATGCTTGCATATGTAGGAGTGCTTGTTGCTTTGTTTCAGATTCATGGCAGGACACTCTCTACGGGCACGTGTCCACACCCCTCACAGTCTCCAGTCTTGCAGTCTATGGTGGCCTGCAGCGGCGCTACATTCAGAAATGTCAGATTTCTGATTTGTACTGGCAGTTTCAAGCTGAATGGTCTGCCCTCACTGAGTTGCATGCACACTATGGGGCAGAGATGCCCAGCTATGATACCTTTCGACGCAGGTGGAATTCTCACTGGAGCAACATGATTCGCATGCGTGAAAAGAGTCAGCACAAGCAGTGCCAGCGATGCTTTGACCTGCAGATGATGCTGCGTAGCCCCAAAGTGTCATGGAGTCGAAAGCTGGAGGTTGCAAAATTGTTGCGGCAGCATCAAAAGGATCAGTACCAAGATCGTTTGCTGTATTGGTCTCTGAGATGGGCTTCGACTGTCCAAGCACAGTCTTGCAGTCCTCAGTCCAAGCAGCAGTCCAAGCAGCCCTTGCAGTCAGGAACAGTTCTCACTGTTATGATCGATGACATGGATCACAGCAAGTTTGCATGGCCACGGTGGGAGTTTCGCAAACAGCCACATGAGATGGATGGATTGATACGACCAACAGTCACATTCACAGGTGCATATGCACATGGATGGGGCACCTTCCTGTATATGGCCGGGCCACAAGTTGTTGGGGGATCGGACTATTTTTTGGAGGTCCTGTGTCAGACTTTGGAGCAGGTATGGCAGTCTTGCAGTCCTCAGTCTTGGCCATCTCATTTGGTGCTAGTTGCTGACAACACCACAAAGTCGGCAAAGAACCAGTATGTGCTGCGATTTCTGTCTTACCTGGTGGGCCGCAAAATTTTCAAATCAGTGACTCTGTTTCAGCTCATGGTTGGCCACACCCATGAAGACTTGGATCAGCTCTTTGCAGTTGTGTATTCATACCTGAAGAAGAAGGCAAGCTGGCAAACTCCGGATGAGATTTTGCAACATATCAAGTCCTGCTACTTGCTGCCAAATAGGACTGCTGTTAGGTACAGCATGTGTGCCAGTGTGCAGGATTGTCCCGAACAGATAGAACCTGATGCAACTGAGGCTTGGAGACCAGTTCTCATGCTCAACGACCAGGACAAATTTCTGCCAGACATGTGACAGCAGTTCGAGATTTCGATTCTTGGCTCCAGCCCATGGGGGTAACTTTGTACAATGCATTGAGGCAAAGAAGTCACAAGCATCCACTTGCACGAGCAGGAAACCTTCCAGAAATTCCTCACTGTTTCACGATGATCACTGGTGATACGATGTGTTTGAAGCACAGGGAGATGATGGAAGAGGGCTTGGATGGGACAGCAGTCTATGTGTGCGTCAAAATGTACTCCCGTGACCTGAACCTGAGCCAGCCCCCGGTCAAGGTTGCGAGCATGGCCCAGATTGCATCAGTATTCCCCGAAATCCCACGTGGTGTTCATGCTGCAGTTGAGCTGTCTGGCGTCCAGATTGACACTTTCACAAAATTGTCAGACCTGGCAGACAAGTATGGCATGACAGAAGCTGCCAAGGCTTTGAGAGGGATTGTGTTTGTGAGGCGCTATGATGTGCATAGTTTGGAGTTTATGAGACAAGCACCAAGAGTTTTCAGTCCAGAGCCAGAAGGCTTTGCACAATTGCTATATTTGCCTAACTCATGCTGGAAACTGATGGCCAAGTTTCACCGCTGAGCAGTCTTGCAGTTGCAAAGCTGAAGATTGGGTGTGACTTTGCTGGTGAGGATTAAAGTATGGCTGCCAAGTTGGAGCAGGTAGTTAGCAGTTATCAGACTCAGTCAGTTGTTGGGAGTCAGTATCGACTGTCACACACTCTGAATTCATGGCTCGAGTTTTGAGGCAGTCCTGCAGTCCGGCAGTCCGCTTCAACAGTGTCCCCAAGATGCAGAGTGGCTCCGGAGTTGCCCGGACATGTCGGCTGGAGATCTTCGGATTGACAGTCATTGGGATCCTCCAGTCTGAACTGTTTTGCCAGGGACCTCGTGATCTTCATGTTTTGGAAGTCTTCAGTCTTTCCAAGACACTGGTCAATGCGGCAGAAACACGTGGGCTGAGTGCAGAGAGTTTCGACTACATGAATCCAGGGCAAGGGGACGTCTTGTCAGAGACTGGTTTTCATCAAGCAATTCGGATGGTCATGCGGTTGAAGGAAGCTGGTCTGATGTGTATTGCACCCGATTGTTCCAGCTTTTCTTGGGCATGCTCAAGTAAGACCAAGCGCACCAAGAAAAACTTTGCAGGAGACACTGGCAATCCCACTGTCAGGCATGGGAACTTCATGGCTGAGGTGTCGTTCTTCCTGTTTGTCTTGGCAGCAGCACGCGGTGTATATGTTTGTTTGGAGAACCCAGTGGGCTCGACACTGTTCTCATACCTGAAGGCACACATCTTAGCGCTGGATGCAGTCCTCAGTCCTCTGTTCTTGCTTGTTGACCGCTGTGCCTTTGTGACCGAGAGACCTACATATGGCAAAAGGTACA